TTCAGGACAATTAAATTAGTCCTCTGACATTTTAACTTAGAAAACTGAACTCTATCCTAAGAAATGGGGAATTCTTAGAGAGCAATGCATTGCAACCACAATGTATCAGTCAAAGAATCTGAAATTTCTGTTAGGCTTATCTTAGGAACTTACATTGTAATGTATATAATGTTTTGCCAACTTAACCCAATTTACCTTTTTTACTGACAAGGAACAAAAACTAAGAATATACACCACAAAGTGTGAAATACTTTAACTAAAGTACATGTGATATTTCTTAGACCAATTAGAATTTCTTATTTTCCAGGAAACTGAGACCCAATCATAAGTTTTAGATTTCATTGATGAAGATGTAAAACAATCTTGCTATAAATTTAGGAGGCTGACTTCCTCTCTCACCATGCAAACACTTTGCTATATGTTGTTAATTTTAAGCTATACACTAAAACACATCACAACTTTGCAGTTGGCGGTGATATTTAAAATTGTTAGCTGACATACAGCCTTTGACAATATTTAGCACTTTATAGCAATACATTGACACTAACTTTAGAAACTGTAGTATAATAAGATTTTATAGCCAATTAGGTTGATGAGTCACTGTCAGCTTCCTAAACTCCCCTTTTAGATGAATGAGAAAATCAGTTATAGGAAGTGAGGAGCAAGTTGTAGCTGCTGTAAAATCTTAAGTGTCATCATGAGGTTGAAGTGTTAAAGAGCTGAAAAATATGTTGTCTAAACAGCCCGAAAAAAAATCAAAACGATTAACTTTTTCAGAAATGATAATAGCATTCAGTCTTTCAGTTTGTCGTCATGTGCTTACATTGATTTACAGGAAGAGTCTTACAGTGTTCATTGATTCACATGTGGCACCAGTTACTAGACAGACTTCTGAACTCTCACTTTAAAAGAAAATAAACATGTACTAAGTTGAATATATTTAATCAACAGTCAAAATAATTGGAATTTATAACTAGAAAAGAAAATGAATAGTTTGAATAGTGAAAATTTAAATATTTTTCTTTAATAAGATGATGTATATTTGTTTGTGCATTTAGACCTATTACATATAAAGTTGAATTTTTTTATTTTTTGATAGGGACAGGGTCTCACTATGCTTCCCAGGCTGGTCTTGAACTCCTGGCATCAAGCGATCCTTCCACCTCAGCATTTCAAAATGTTGGGATTACAGCCAGGAGTCACCACATCAGGCTGTTTATTTTTTAAGAAATGCTAAGAAAGAGTATATCTATTAAATTGGAACATATCAATTATACTTTATCAGGAAATGTTGTTTATAAATGAATCCAATTATTGAATGCTGAGGAGTATGTTTATAGATTGACAGAGAGGTGGCATTGACATTAAAATAAAATTATATAAAAATAAAATGATAATGTAAATTGAAGTTGCACTGGCATTAAAATAAAATGATATTATATTAAATCAAGATTATTTTAGAATAGAGTAAGCTTAAAACAATAAAACATTCACACATGTGTAGCTGTTACATGAATTCCATGGGTTGTAAAAAATTTCCAAATTCCTTAATGCTCTTGTTGTCATTGCTTCATTTGAAACCATTTGGCTTAGGCATTTTCTGCCAGTTCTGTGTCCACTGTCCACCCTTCAGCCTGCAGCAATGGAAACATGGAAATCCTCCCTTTTCTTTAAAGCCAACAAAATTAGATTAAAAACCAATAATATTTACAGAAGAGGTGTGTGAGGGGTGTGTGTGTGTGTGTGTGTGTGTGTGTGTGTGTGTGTCTGTCTGTCTGTCTGTCTGTCTGTCTTTCTCTCTGTCTGTCTGTCTCTCTGTCTGTCTGTCTGTCTGTCTCTCTGCAGCACAGGGATTTATAGAGCAGCAATACAAACAACCTGGAATGTTAGATTTCCCTCTGCCATTATTTTACCTTGGGCTCAAGCCTTTCTCTCTGTTGCTACATCTTCCTTTCTCTCCTCTGTATCTTTTTCTTCCTACTGTTTTCTATTTTCTGTTTCCACCCTCTCAGGAGGAAGACATTTAGTTCCTTACACTTTCGTATTTACAGAACTTTTGTGTCTTTCTGGCTTCTACTCTTGTCATCAGCTCCAGGCCTTCCTGTGTGTCTAAGGACATGATGGAAGCTTTGAAGCATAAATATTGGGAATTGTGTTCTTTGACTCTTCATCTAGTGAGAAAAGGGGAAAGAATTTGATTAGATTTTCTTTTGGTTGTGCATATCATGAAAGAATTATTTTTATTTTCATATTTCAATGGCATATATAGCTATAGTGGTATTTTTGAGGATTGCTCTATGCAAGAGCAGGGTTTTCCAAAAGCTGGTGCACAGACTTGGCTAGTTGCACCAGAATTTCTGGGAGAGTTGTGGAAATGACAGATCCTTTATGTCCCAGGTAGAGAGATTCGGACCCAGCAAGTCTGGGATGGTGCTGAGAAATCTGTACTTAAGGAGAGAACCAAGTATGGAAACAACCGCTCTGAACCTCTTGTCTTCATTTTCTGTTACCAATTTGAGCGATGCCAAGCACCGGGATATCCATCCAGACCTAGGGACTGATCCTAAAAGTCATTATTCACTTCTATCTGAAATTTCCTCATCACTTGCCTTTTTCTTCATGAGCAACCATCCTGGTTTCCCCAGGGCTCTTCAGGTTTTGGTCCTAGGTCCTGAGAAACTCCTCAGTCCGGGACTAGCAAGAGTGCATAATAACCAGACAGCAATCTACAAGGAAATAACATCATCTATTTGGTTGCTGTAGCCACCCTTCAATATTTATTTATGAATGCTCTACTTTGTGGTTAAAACCATGGGAGAGAAATTTCAGGCAGATGTAGAAAGGGTTGTTTTCACAGGAAGCTTGATGAGAGATTCTGGGAATGAGCAGTCTTGTCCTATGACTCAGGAGACAAAAGTATAACCTAAAGATAGGAAGAGAACATTGTCTTCATGTCTTGCGAATCTTAGCTTAGATCATGCAGCTCAGGTAGGTTGAAGGAGACAATATACCTTTTGAGTAGTGGTCTTCCCTGTTTCTGTGCTTGGAAATCTGCAAAACTTTCAGTAGGATATTTCAGGGAATCCCCTACAGAGTTAGCCTTGTTTTCCATATATTGTTTGACATGGAAGCAGCAGATTCTGTAGAGATATGGCAGGTCTTTGGAAATGTGGAACTAGCAGTTAGATGGCAAGAAAGGTTTAGAAAACTAATGTTCTAAAAAGCTAACTTCCAAAATGAACTAAACTGATTACTATAAATTGATCTAATGTTCTGTACTCTATGGCCAACCTTTTGTAGTCCAATTTATAGTTCTGGACTGTAGAAATTTTAGTAGTTGACAAAATTGATGATAAGCAGATTCTAAGATTGGGGATAAAGAAGCTCAGCCTTGGAGAATAAACAGTCCAGACATGAGAAAATCAGAAAAGCCATGTCAAGCAGGGAGGAACTGAATTCAGCCTCATGACAGACCAGAGAGACCAGAATACCAACCAAGATCATTTGAAAGAACAGAGTGTCGCAAGTGATTAAGACCAGAAGAAAATCAAAAACAATAATTGGGTGAATAAAAATAAATAAACTGACCACTATTTTTGTTTAGAAAAAAAACACTGTTTTTTTTTCAGAGTGGAAATATCCAAATATAAACCATTTAAATTCAACTCTGTAATTGTATAGGTCAGGCGTCCCCAAACTTTTTACACAGGGGGCCAGTTCACTGTCCCTCAGACCATTGGAGGGCCACCACATACTGTGCTCCTCTCACTGACCACCAATGAAAGAGGTGCCCCTTCCTGAAGTGGGGCAGGGGCCCGGATAAATGGCCTCAGGGGACTGCATGCGGCCCGCGGGCCATAGTTTGGGGACGCCTGGTATTGGTTATATGCATTGGTGTTAAGAAAACAAATATTTGCTGAATTTAAATACAGTTTATTCAAGGTTGGTAACATCCATGGAAAGTTTAAAATGCTTGCTTTTGGTCTATGTGTTACCAGTTGTGTAGAGTTGGTGAGGGATGTAGAAGTGATAGGAGATCATTTTTGCTCCCTTAATAAACTCATTATGTCCCTTCCATGATTTTTTCTTGCATGCCCAACATTCTTGCCATCTACCACGTTTTTCTGGGGATTGAGAGAATATTGGACTTGCAATCTGAGACATGCAAATGATTCCCAAATCTGCCCTGTGTACCCCATGTGATGATAATCTCCATGAGTCTTGGTTTCCTTGTTTTCAAAATGAGAATGTTGGATCATAGTTGATCTCTCATTTATATTCCATTTAAAATATATTACTATTCCATATTAAATTATAAACGCCAACCGAAAGGTAATCTTCACTGCCAATTATCAGCCCTAAATATGCCCAAACACAAGTACATTTATTCTGAGTGACATTCATTTTGAGGTATCTGCATGTTTTTAATAGAAAGTCTAAGTAGAAAATTGAGTTCAAAAAGAAAACAAATTGAATGATTATTATAAAGATAACCAGGTTCACTTAAGGGAGTATTTTCATAAAACAGTTACAAAAACACTCCCAACTAGAGCATATTCAAAACTAGAACTGATTTGGGGAGTGGCAAAAGATCTTACTTTGGGCCACTAATTAAATGACACTCCTAGAGTTGAGATAGATGGCCAGAATGACATATTACACATTTTGCTTAAAAGATCAAGCCACTACCAAAATGTTATGTAATTACTAGAATGTACACTATAATAGGACTCAATAAGGTGGAAATAAAGATAATGAAACCATACTTCTTTTACTTACTTTCTTTTTGTTGCTGATGAAATAGTTTTACTCTTTCCAAATAAATTCAATATCCAGTTTAAAAACCTGACTTAGTTACTATAGAATTAATCAGAAGTGAAATCAAATAGTTGTGTCTCATTAAGTGTTCCTCAAATGATGGAAATCTTAGCTCTAATGCCATCTTTTATTGGAATCTAATGTCAACTGATGGTTTCTTTAAATTATTTTTTATTTTGCAGGGCTGGAGCGAATTGCTCGGGATTCATCTTATGAACAGGAAGGAAAGGTCCAATTTGTAATTGATGCAGTATATTCCATGGCTTATGCCCTGCACAATATGCACAAAGATCTCTGCCCTGGATACATTGGCCTTTGTCCACGAATGAGTACCATTGATGGGAAAGAGCTACTTGGTTATATTCGTGCTGTAAATTTTAATGGTAAGTTGCAACGTGTGTGTGTGTGTGTGTGTGTGTGTGTGTGTTTCTAAATACTTTAAAAGTGATAGGGTGTGTTTTTCCTCCTAAATATAGAAGATACCCAGGCAGAGTGGAAAACACAGGATTAGAAGCAGTTCTCTCTTTGATCAGAAGTGTGAGTTTTTCCACCTGCTTTTACATCTCAGACATATTTTTATGCTACCATTAATCTATGCGTGAAGGAAGCAAAAGTTTAAAATAAGCTTCTATTAATCAAAATATTCTACTTAAATATCATTATTGAAGAGATAACTTAGAAGGCTTATTTGAAACCATTAATAATAGATTAGATTTCTTTGAAAATGTTTAGTTCATGCTGTTATTAGAGAAGATATTGTAGACATTTTGTTTTGAAACTGATTTTAAGCTTTTGAAACAATAAGTTGAAGAAAATGGATGATTTGGAGTAGCTGTGTATTTATACATAAAGAATATTAAGTTTCGGCCGGGCGCGGTGGCTCACACCTGTAATCCCAGCACTTTGGAAGGCCGAGGCGGGCGGATCACGAAGTCAAGAGATCGAGACCATCCTGGTCAACATGGTGAAACCCCGTCTCTACTAAAAATACAAAAATTAGCTGGGCGTGGTGGCGCATGCCTGTAGTCCCAGCTCAGGAGGCTGAGGCAGAAGAATTGCTTGAACCCAGGAGGCGGAGGTTGCGGTGAGCCTAGATCGCGCCATTGCACTCCAGCCTGGGTAACAAGAGCGAAACTCCGTCTCAAAAATAAAATAAAATAAAATAAAATAATATTAAGTTTCTGTGTCTTCCATTTCCTTGTATTTTTCTCAATTACTCAGTCATTTGGAAGCAAAGGAAGCAAAGTGGCTTCATGAAGATGGGATTTTTATGCTGTAAAAGCAGCAATGTTTCTGTGACTGTCACAAGAAACTGATACAGAATATACTTGATTCGTACTATTTTGATTGAGAATAGCCCAACTGCCTGTCTGGAGTGATGGAATTATTGAATGCTGCTATTCTTTCATGAAAGTTACAAATGTTGTTGCCTATGACTCTGACCATTATTTTCAAGCGAAATGATAGAATGCTCAGAGCTGTCTAATTCTTTTGGCTTGGCTGTAATCCGCACAATGGACATGCCTTTGAGCCACGCACAGCACTGCACGTCTATCATAACACACTCGAGTGACCTCAGCTGCCAGTGTTTCTCAGAAAAGCACAAGGTCATCTTCAATTTAGAATTCAAGTAGAAACTTCTTCTTTTTTCCTTTTTTTGTGTTTTGCCTTTAAAGGCAACCTAAGACAGAATTTGGTATAAATTCAAAACAGAGTATCCTTGTCTGTGGCAGAATATTTGTGAAACATTGCATAACATTAATCTTTTTATTGGGAATATGAACACTAACTGGAGCTAAAAAATAATTTTCATGCAATTCCATGCAATTATGAAATTGAGCAAAGGAGGAATGTTGCGATACAAGGTTGTTTACCATAACTTGAGGGTGGGGAACGCTTCCTTTATCTTATATTATTAGTTAAGAGGTGGGAAGAATAACACAGATGAGTGCAGTTTTTATAGAACTGAAGCTCACCTCCAGAAGACAGGGAAGTCTTTTAAAGAAGCACTAAAGATAAAGCATTTTAAAGGTGAATTACTAATTTGTCTTTTATCTTAACCATAGATCAAAACTAACCCTTCCTTGATCACTTCAGTTGTTATACCATACTGTAATATAATGATACTATTTGGTGGCGCCTGCCTGTAATCCCAGCTACTCGGGAGGCTGAGGCAGGAGGATTGCCTGAACCCAGGAGGCAGAGGTTGTAGTGAGCCGAGATTGTGCCATTGCACTCCAGCCTGGGTAACAAGAGTGAAACTCTGTCTCAAAAAAAAAAAAAGACTGTTAAAGAATGTCTTAAAATAATGGCTATTTGGAAGATTTGCCTCTAGACTCCAATGATCTTTGAGTTCTGTCCACTTTTTAAAGTGTGTGTGTGTTTTTTTTTTTTTTAACATTATCAAAGTGTTGCTGATGCTGTTGCTGTGCCTGTTTTAGGACACTTGCTGATGATACATTACTGACGAAACTAGACAAAACATTCATGGCATTTAGAGTTTCCTGGAGATCTTAGGTAGTAATCAAATAAGCACACAGGAATATGATTATATAATCTGCAATGAGTGCTGACAAGGAAGGTATTTTGCATTTAGAGTTTATAATAGTGGAAATTCCCCTAATGTAGGGATTTAGGAACTGATAAAATCTGAAGGGAGTAGCTACCTGAGATAAGGGTAAAGCAGTAGGCAGGGCCATGTAGACCATGATGAGGTCTTATAGGCCATTATTAAGATTTGTTCTTCGCCGGGCACGGTGGCTCAAGCCTGTAATCCCAGCACTTTGGGAGGCCGAGGTGGGTGGATCACGAGGTTGAGAGATCGAGAACATCCTGGTCAACATGGTGAAACCCTGTCTCTACTAACAATACAAAAAAAATTAGCTGGGCATGGTGGCACATGCCTGTAATCCCAAAAAGATTTGTTCTTCATCTTGAAAGCAACAAGAACCTATTGAAGCATAATAGAACTGTGTCTGATAAGGGTATGTATGTCCCAGATGAGGGTTATAGAAAATAAATAAATTTCAGTGTATGAATGTAAAAGAGAATCTCTTTGAGCTCTTTGGATTGATTTTGCTGAGCTTGAGACTTGGTTGTATTCCAGTAGCTGATAATACAGGATAAGAGACCTGAAGATAAACTAATGATCATAGAATACATAATTCTGTTGATTTTCAGTAATTTCCAGGATTTTAATCTCATCATTTTTTAATTTTATTATTGACTTATCTATTAATTTTCATACTGCTTATGATAAAAATGGCACATAGGGCTGTTCAAATAGAAGTACACCATCAAAACTACTAAAGGAGGAAGAAACACATATAGTAAGTAGAATAAAGAATGAAATCATTAACTTTTGAGCTTCTTAAGCAGTCAAAGTATAAAGGGACTGGCAATGTGATTTGTAATTTTCATTATATGATAGAAGCAAGCCTACCTATTTTTCAAGAGAGAATGGATTTTTCTTGGAAATAATTTCCAAAAGAAAGGTGTCATATAGGACTTTGACAGCCAAATGAGCAATGTTACTTAACAAAATTTTAAAGCAAAAGCAGAAGCCTTCTCTGGCTGTTTTGCATATGTACCCACAATCAAAGTTAAGAAATGTTAACTTTTTTAACACTGAAAGTATATTTCATTAAAGATGTTTCAAGGAGCAGGCAGATAATTATCCTTGATTTAGATTTATGACTCTTTTGAGCCCTGATGATACGGGGATGTATCAGAGTCTGAAGATAAATGAAGAGCATCTCCCTTATACTCTGGTTTTAAGATTCTACATTCAAAAATATCCTACTCAGAAATCTAACATTTCAATCTGTTAAAAATAAGAGCTGTTGGCTTGAAGGGGTTGGCGTAGCCCCGGCCAATCCATTTCCCTAGTCTTGCTTACTGGTCTTGGAAGCACCTTGAAGAATCCCAGTGACTAGGAGGCAAACATACAATCTGCAGACTTATATACATATCCTTGCTTTTCTCAGGGATTTAATAGCAGCTAGAAGTAGACTTTTGGAGCAGTTTTAGTTGTTAGAAACCTAAAAAAGCCATGTTATGTTGTTAATTGAAATCTAGTTGAGTTTCTTATGTTGGTGATAGCCAGTGTTCTCACCTGGTGGGACAGTGGACCCGCCTCCCTAACACCAAAAGTGCCAGGAGGCCATTGGCCTAAACAAGGTTTCCTCAGAACCAATTTTTAATTTTCTGAAGAACCCAGATGTGCTGGACTTGAACCAAAGCTGCTTATTATACATAACAACAAAAAATATTATGTATTAGAAGGTTTTTAGCATGGCTATTGCCAGTTGTCAAAGAATAAGCTTTATAAGGCAACTGCCAAGTTGATACATTGTGGCCTTCTAGATTTTCTGCCAAGATTAGTGAGCTACAAAATGCACTCTCAAGTAATTTAAAAAATTGACCCATTCAATGGAATTACTTAGTAATGCCCATTTAAAATGGAACACTTGGTATTCAAAGTGTAATTTTTATGTGGATAAAATTCTTGTTAAATTCATTCTTTTTGACATAATTAGGTATCAGGACACATTTCTTTTTATGTTCCCTTTTAGTTTGAGATAGTAAAACCATGTTATCGGTGTGGAGGAAGATTCTGCTTCCAGTTTATAAGAGCAGGGAGTGAGGCAGCCAGAGCCCTGGATTTTCATCAGACCATTGATACTAAATTCAGGAAAATTGTTTGTTAAAATGTAATCTGCTCACATTGTAACCAGGTGTGTGGTATGCCTACTTAAGCAATGATTTAAAGATATGTGATTTAAGAGACTGTGCTTCTTCCAGTGTATCATTTAATTGACAAAGCAAAGAATATATTAGAATTGAGAGTGACAAACAACTAGTGTTTCAGGCCAGAATTATTTCATGAAAAAATACCTAACTAAAGCTGGACTATTCAGTCAAACTGCTGAACTGTAGAATACTAATTGGCATCAAAGACATAAGCTACAATGGTGGTTTAATTGAATGTAATCACTGAAACTGATTTTTTTAAAATCACTGAAAAAATGTACCTGAACCATCTTCTGCATCTGTATTTTAAGCACATTCTGAATCATAGTGTATCCAGAATTACTCATATTTCCCTTACAAGTTTTCTTAACATCTTCTATCTACTTGGGAAGCCAGAGGGAAACAAAGACTTTCCTTTTAGGGTTACTTTCATTGCTGCTATCTGAACAAAATGTTATTTCTGTAATTTTTAAACCCTAAGATCTATCAAAAACTATAAAGGAAATGAGTTCAGATATGTTAGAAACTTGTCAGTTTCTTACTCCAGACTGGTCTATAGGCAATGAAATATTAATTCTGTACATCTTGTATAGAATAAAAGATTTTTCTGTTGCTATGAGAACCGTATTTG